AATTCAATGTACAAAAGAAAATAACACTTGATAACACTTATTTATTATTTTGTGATGAGACAAATATATTCTCATCACAAATAACACACATGCTTAACAATTTGCTTCCCTGCCATATGCTCTATCCCATATGTATCAAAGCTCTTCTAGAAAAAGATTCTGCTATTTTAATGTTTAAAGTTTGGGTAAGCTTAAAGTGCCTATAGTTTTCCCAATAACTACTACTAACTACTGAAATACCACTTAATAATTATAGCTTTAAATGAGGCAAATTTGTGTGTGTCTTGCTTGAGAGAATGAAAATTTGCATTTTTCAATTTTGCTTAGCTATAATCTCAAATATTTTCCCTGGAGGTAGCGTGGGTATCTCTGTGCCCTACAGCTGACTGGCTTTCCTAGATGCTGAAAGCTATAAAAAAAATAATAGCTTGGGGAAAAATGTATTTATCCATACTCATAGACTAAGGCAATGCCATTTGAATATAAAATGGAAGTTAAATTTTTATTGTTTCATATTTTCAAGGTTTTAAATTCTATTTCCATCAGTGTAACTTACTGGAGAAGTTCCTATCTGTCCACGTGTCTATTCTACGGAAGGAGAGCGTTTAATTCCTGTAAAAGAAAATTGGTGGTGGCATTCTTTATTAAAAGGGATCCTTGACAATTTATGGAACAGGAGGCAATCGTTTAAATGTGTGGAAGTCCCTAGATTTCTCCTGTGCTTCTTGCTGTTGGTGTGAGTTGGATAGACCATTCCAAACGGTGGGCTTACAGTGGTTCACGTCTCCAATCCCATGCTTTCCACACCTGTGACCTCACTGTTTTGAAGAGGTGATGTGAAGCTGTCCGTTTTAATTCTGCAGGTCGATCCAGACACACGTAGGGACTGACTGGAAGCTGTAAGTCTGGAAAGAAGGAAAAGAGCAGAAGAGAGTCATTCTATCGTTTGTTTTAGGAACCATTTCCACAATCGCGTGTGGGACCTTCTGCCTCAGGGTCTGCCAAGGCACACAGCACATTTCCCCTCCATTCCAATCAAGAGTTGGCTCCAGGGCATGTGGATATTCAGTTAGAACAAAACTTTTGTCATGTAGACCCTGGTATGCTAAAGCCATCAAAGAACTTGGCCGGCTAGACCTTCCAGTGCCCCAGCGTGGTCTGGAAGCAATTCCTAGCCATCTACTTCAGAAGGGTCCCAGCTGTGAAAACCCCAGGGGGGACACATCTACACTGCTAAACAAGGACTTGGCTGTGAGTCAAAATCCACTCACTAGCAGTTACCACTGCTTGGTGCTGTCGTGTGCTGTCTTATCACAGAGCAGGGCAGAAATCAGACTAATGGATGCCAAAGTTCCCGGTGGACAAGGTGGGGTGGACGTGGTGAGTGTAACTATCACCAGCACCAAGCTGATGTGTCCCCACCCGAGCTCAGAAAGGAGCTCTGGCAGCCACGGGAGTAGAATTTTGTTGTGGGGACAATATTTCACAGAAAACTTGAGTTGATTCCCTGGAAATACCGCGTTGCTGACGCTAGTGTTTGCCACCCTTCATGATTTTGGAAATCTCAAACATGTCCAGCGATTTTGTAAGACGGTATTTATTAGGCCTTTTAAAATGGAAACACCTTCCTCTAGTTCTTAAACGCTTCCTCCCCCAACTACCAGGACCCCAATTCTGCCTTGCAGACCTGGCTAGACCAGAGGATGCACAGCGGTACAGATGGGAATTGGAAACGCAGGGAGTCTAGGACAGATGAACCACTCAGGACCAGGGGTGACAGTGGCGATACCAGGAGGGAAGGGGGGTGTAGAAAGGGGGAATTGAT